GCAATTCTGAGATGATTCTAACACGATTCTAGCATTTTTCTGACATGATTCTAACTCATAACTTGCTATTGCTTGGGTGGAGTGACTAGGGCGGATGCAGAGCACGCCATTATGGAGTGCAAAAAATGGAAAAAAGGTAGGAGGGAGGAGTAAGACAAAAAATCCTTTTCCAACTAATTTTATAACATTGTTGCGCGTTGTGGTGCGCTATATTTATATAATTATATACAATCTAATAAAATAAAATTGTGAAGTTAACTTATGAAATGTATATGATCAATGTACTTGTATATAAAATAAAAAAAACTCGTAACTTCATTCCGACTTTATTACCATTTTTCTATCATTTTTCACCTGGCTCCCAATCTACAATTACTGGACTCGCCCTCGCCCTGTGCAATATTGCAAACTATGTTCATACGCGGCCCTTTGCGTTTATATAAACCAACGGTATCAGCAACTCATAAACCATTGTGAAATTATGTGCGAAATTAATTATATTGCATACATATACATGGATTCACTGGTCTATACTTAGTAAGGGATAATAACTGATGCTTTTGATATATTGAAAATTATATTGCACATAATATCAAAAAGGATTTTGACTTTGAAATTGTAGCTGCCAAAAAATACTCTTTATAGAATGATAATAGAACTAAGTGAAAGTAACATTTGGCCCGAAGACTAGTAAGAATGTTTTAAGAATCTAGTAAAATTAGAGTTGAATTCGATTAGTAACTAGTTAGAAATCTAATGAGCATTTCACTTGAAATTTGAAGAGTTTTGTATTATTTCAGTCCGAATTAAGATAGAATCTAGTAACTTACCAGCTAGGAATTACAGGATTTTGGCAATATTGCAATTAGTATGCAGCCAAAATCAAGTTAGTGAGTTAGTCACAATCTAATCAGGGACTAGCCAAAATCTAGTCAGAGTCTAGCGAAATTCTAGTTAGAATCTAGCCAAAATTTACTCAGAGTCTATCCAAAATCTGCTGAGAGTCTAGTCGAATTGTATTCAGAATCTAGCCAAAATTTAATCAGAGTCTAGCCAAAATCTGCTCAGAGTCTAGCCAAAATCTAATCCGAGTTTAGACGTATGATTATAGTTGGAATCCAGTCAAAATCTAGTTTCAATTTAGTCACAATTTAGTAACAATGTACTCAATATTGAGCCATATTCTACTCAGAATCTACCCAAATTCTAGTCAAAATCTAGCCAAAATCAAGAGAAAGTCTAGCCAAAATCTAATCAAAATCTAGTCAGACTTTAGTATGATTGTAGTAGGAATGCAGTCACAATCTAGTAGAATCCAGTTACAATTTTGTAACAATTTAGCCAGAGTCAAACTCAAGCCAAAATCTAGTCAGAGTTTAGTCGTATGATTATAATTGGAATCCAGTGAAAATCTAGTTTGAATTCAGTCACAATCTAGTAACTGAGAATCTAGCCAAATTCTAGTCAGAATCTAGCCAAAATCTAGTCAGATTCTAGACAAAATCTAGTCAGATTCTAGACAAAATCTAGTCAGAGACTAGCCAAAATCTAGTCAAAATCTAGTCAGGATTTACTGTGACAGGAATAATCAAAATCTAGTTAGAATCCAGTCACAATGTAGTAATAATTTAGCCAGAGCCTAGTCAAAATTTAGTCAGAATCTAGCCAAGATCTAGTCAGAATTTAGCCAAGATCTAGTCAGAATCTAGCCAAGATCTTGTCAAAGTCTAGCCAAAATCTAGTCAAAATCTAGTCAGAGTCTAGCTAAATTCTATTCAAAATTTAGTTAAAATCCAGTCAGAGTCTAGCTAAATTCTAGTCAAACTTTAGATGATTATAGTTGGAATCCAATCAATTTCCAGTTAGAATTCAGTCACAATTTAGTAACAATCTAGTTAGAGTCTAGTCAAAATCTAATCAGAGTCTAGCCAAGATCTAGTCAGAGTCTAGCCAAAATCTAGTCAGAGTCTAGCCAAAATCTAGTCAGAGTCTAGCCAAAATCTAGTCAGAGTCTAGCCAAAATCTAGTCAGAGTCTAGCCAAAATCTAGTCAGAGTCTAGCCAAGATCTAGTCAAAATGTAGCCAAAAATATTATAGTTAAAAATCTACAGAATAGAAATTACTATTTTTAAAAAATATTTATTATTTTGTGAAACTGACTATCCCTTCCCATAAGAGCGTCGACTGCATGCTAAATGCATACATGCGACAAGTTATTACTGTCACTTTAAACTAATCTATCATTGTCGCAATGTACATACCGATATGAATTATTCTACTTGCATATACGTATATTATATGTATGATGAATACAAAACGCTATGTACATATCAAATCGTTAAAGATGTCCAACGTAAATGTGGCTGGCTTCGTGTTCCGAAGTAATTAGTAGGTTCTTTATATATTTTTGAGATCTTGAGAACACGAAACTTTTAACTTATACATTATTAAAAATGCAACCTAATTTTATTTGCATTTTATTGTTTTATATTCTATTGCAATTGCACTGTAAGTGAAGTTTTGTATGCAACTTATTTATTTATATTTGTCTATTAATTTAGCGTTATTTTGCTATTTTCAGTCGCAGCAATAACGCGAAACAATATGAAAGGCAATCTTGTAAAAAGCATTTGTAACGAAATATAGAAAAAAGAAAATTGCCGCCGTCGGCTTTATATTTTTTTATTAAGTAAGGAAAACAATTACAATTATCGCCCTTCCTTGCCGCGAACACCCAACGCGGCATAAAATCGCAACGACCGCGGCTCGTAAAAGCCGCAAATTATAAATTCATAAACCGCCGGTATAGTAAAATACATTTGTACCTACTGTAAGGCAAGTTTCACACTTCTTGGACGATCATTTTTTTGCTCTTGAATAACAATCAATATATTGTTTCATAAATGTTTCATGAAACATTTTGTAAGGCGAACAAACAATTCTAGTGGTACATTGCATCGTCTTTTGCATCACTTATCAAGTTATTGAATAAAGCTACTAATAATTTTTTGTCTCACAAAATACTTTTGTTACATCAATTCATGCCTATATCTCTTTTTATGGACAAATCTAGAAATTCGAAACTAAAAAACAAACCCACTAGAGAAAAAATAGCGATCATAAATAACCAAGTTTGAAGTAACCTCGAAGAGCTAAGGGAACGAGTAGGTACGATATTAGGAAATGATTTGACAGTAATTTGTGCTGAAACATCTTGTACCAAAATTTAAAATTTTCAAAAGTTTTCAATTGCAATTGAGCACGTCTCGCCATCAATAGAAATCGAATGATTTCTGAATTACTCATATCGGTTGATCCGTGCTTTCAAAAATATGGACAAAAAATTGTGTCCAAACATACATATATACACATACGTACATTATTTCTAAAGCCAAAATTTCAGAAACCTCTGAAACGCAAATTTATGCAAATAGAAATATTTTCGAAAAATTTAAAAATTAGTTCAGTTTTTTATCAGAAGATTTAACAAGTGTGAATTGTCTACCTTTTGCTCAGTGAAAACTGCCAAGCAATTTTTACATCAGTTTAATTACCCGAAATGGGGTGAACAAAAAATACAAAGAAACAGTAATGCAATTTTAAATATTCTGCTTCTTTCAAATGTTCTTTACAATTGTATTCAATCATAAAAAATACGGAGAGCTAGAAACAATCAAAATTTAAACCGTATAAATCATTTGAAGTTATAATGCCATATAAATTATCTGTTGATATCAATAAAGAACAAGGACAAAATTAAGTTTCATTCTAAATTATTATTATTAAAAAAATTTAAATGCAATTGATAGTTTTTCCAAGTACGAAACAACGCGATTTTTTCGAAATTTTGAAATTATTTACTATTTACTCAAGTTATTTTAAATATAGCCATCGTAAATTGGTGCTGCCAAACAAATTAATACAGAAAAGTTCTGGGTAATATTTTTTTTTATTTCATCACATGAAGAAAAATATGGTCAGTTCAAATATGGTATATTATTATTAAATATGGTCAGTTCCACCATGAAAACTCATTTTATTATTCAAAACATAATAACTAAAATCATATAAAATTATTTCTGAAAATAACTGGTATAACGAAGTGAATTATTAATATGATTTATGCGCTTTCATGAAAGTGAATGCAGAATTTAAAGTAGATTATTAAAACACGACATAAAAATCCTGCATGTACAATTCGTTGTACTATTTATCGTCGTAAAATGGAAACATTAAAAAGCTGTTTTGTAATAAAAAACATTTACATGTAAGCAAATGAACGTCAAATCTTGACGCATGACGCAAATATAATATAATAATGGGGTTTATAGTTTAGGAATAAAAAAGTTGATGTATAAATATGCGGATTTGTGGAAAATAGCATTATTTGAATTAATCATAAATAATCATCAAATAATCACAACTGTGCATTTTAAGTTCAAAAATAATTTGAAATTTTCAAGATTCGCGGGCAGTGTAAATCAATTTTCATACTAAATATATTGGAACTCATTTTTAACTTCCCAGCAATGTATGTATTTTATCAAAATAGAACAATTTTTTAAGACAATATGTTGGGTGTAAATGCATTTAAAAAAATTATCTCCTGTGAGATATCTCTAGAGTGCGTGAGTTATTTTTCACATTTTATCCAACTTTTCTTAAAAACGGCTGAACGGATTCATAACAAAATCATAGTCTGAACACAGTAAAATATTATAAGCCTAGGATAAGCTGTTGTATTAAAAAAATTTATCAAGTTTAGAATTTGACATTCGTTTTCACTTGAAAATATGAATAGTATGTTTTCTAACGGAAGTACACCTTCTCTGGTGTACCACTAGTCCTCGAGAAAATACTACCCCAAAAATTACCTTTGTTAGAAGTAACTAACAATATGTTTATGCAAAAATCTAGAACTCCACAACCACAAAACAAATCAAGTAGGAAAAAACATTTGTCATAGGTAATCTAGTCTTTTCCTTCGGTGTATCGTTACTATGTCGGTTAGTTTTGCTCTAAAGTTGCACATGAGCATAAATTTACCATACAAAGTGCGCCCGAGGGAAGCTCTAAGGAAGCCAGTACCTTCAATATTAGGCAATGAAGGGATTGCTGGTTATCCACATGCCAATGCTGTCGTAAACCCTCCTCTGACCGATATGAACTAGTTGTAGTTATAGTTTATATTCAATATTATATCCAGAAATATGATGAGCAAGAGGTAGATGAGTCAAATTTCGATTATGACGGTGCTTGGGAAGTTTTGGCAGGTAGATTGAAGGTCAATAATCGATAGCAGAGTTCATCAATTGTTGAGGTAATAGTCTCATTAGTAGTGCCCAAGGTGGGTATTGAACCTAAAACTTCTTATTGAAAGCCTTTATCTAAATACGAGAGTTTATCTACATATACTCGTATATATAAAAATAAGTCGGTTTTTCCTTCCTGACGATATAACTGCAGTACGCACGAACCGATTTTGACAATTTTGCATTCGGTGGAAAAGTCTCGGGCTCCGCAAGGTTTATAGCTAAGAAAATTGGTGGTGCATGGCATCGTGCCTTAATGCACATTGCTGGAACTTCACGCTCCGTAATTAAAAATCCGAGTAATGACATTAGTGAGAATTATCAGAATTATGCTTGGTTAGGTCAACGGGCAATTCTCGCCGCAAACAATAATGATGTACGAGCACTGAATTTCACCATTCAATCAAACATTGCTGGCGATTTAGTGACATACCAATGATTCCGACTGGTCTTCCGTTTGGGTTCAAACGATTGAAATTTCCAGTTCGCATTGCGTTCGCAATGACAATTAACATGTCGCAAGGTCAATCGCTTAGTGTTTGCGGGATAAATTTCAAATAGATTATTTAGAAAATCATTGTTTTTCACCTGGGCAGTTATACGTTGCCTGTTCAAGAGTTGGAAAAGCATCCGCTTTGTTTGTGTTAACGTCAGGCCAAAAAACAAAAAATGTGGTTTACCAAAGAGCAGTTCAATGCAACGGATAATTTGCGGATTCATTTTCATTTACCTAGAAAAGTTCAACTAAAAAACACTTCATTTTTGTAATCGAAATAAATTCATTACTGTTGTGTTATGAAATCAAATTTTTCTTTTTCAAATATAAAACAAACAAAAAATTCTTCATCTTTCTGACGAAACCATCTGGTGGCGAAACGGAGTTCATCGGGTTTGCTAGTTCAGTATAAATATTTCCATCTTAGTACCATTTATTTAAGTTAATAAATACAAATATGTATGAAATGGATACAAAACACTCAGAAATCTAGCAATATTATCACATCTCTTTCAAAATTTAATTCAAAGCCAGTAAAGCGTGCTCGAGATGAATTTCATATCTGCTTCATCGTACTCAGTCATTTACAAGTAAACTGAATATTTATCTACGAATAGGAGTAAAGCGATCGGGCTAGGGTTTTGCCTTTTATGCGGGTATATCATATCGTGATATATTTCCAATAACCGTAAAATATATAGACTCTATTCGCAGACTTGTAAGATAGGGCATGGAATCGGTATTTCAATATTTCATAGAGATATTCCCACCACCAAGGGAAGGAAACAGATAGAGGAAGTAGCCGCAGGTCGAACAAGTTTTATTTGAAGAGATACTTGCTGTAAAAGTGTGATCTTTGATTATTTTAGCTACATTCGCTAATGCTATGCTACAAATCTATTTTCGTATGAATTGGTAGTAACAAATTGTCAAAATCTATGTTGTTGCTATGGGATTAGGCGTTTAGCTCATAAAACTACCAATTAATACGAAGATAAACTGTATTCAGCGTCAATAAACACTAATTTCTCCAACAATAGATTATTCAAATTTAGTTCGTTCCGTCGGTGTATTAAAAATCAGTTAATTTTTTCCCCGATTGTCACCGTTAAAACGAAGCGGAAGATAAACGCGTGCAATTATTTCGCCTTCGTTATATATTTCTGGTTACGTAATTATCTTTGCATAAATTTATTTGAATTATTCATGTTTTGTAATGACTGAATATTAATCTAACCTTTTTGCTTTAAACGCCGCGAACTCATTTTGTACGACTTGTACGCATCGCTCGTTCGTCTAATAAATTAAGAGGAACGAGAAAAACGTTCATTTTCAATTAGGTATCTTGTAAGGTAGAAACAAATAATGTTAAACCATGAAAGAATAATAATCAATATTAGACACAGAAAATTTAATCCATGCAATTTCTAATTGATATCATTCAAACAATATCACAGTATCACAATATCTAATGGTATTAACTAACTTTAAATTATTTAACAATTTCATTATATTTTTAAATAAATTATATTTTATTATTTAATTACATACATTATAGAACCAGCCGTTTTTGAGACTATAACCTAAGTAGACTATACGTGGACCCAAGTTTTGTTCAAATAATATGCAAGTTAGAATCTAGTTGGAATCTAGTAAGGGTCCAACTTAAATCTATTTTTCTATTTAGATAAAATTTCTAAGATGAATATAATCTGTGGAATTCTCAATGAAATAACCTATATATTTACTTGATTCTTACTAAGTTCTCATTATATTCAAACTGGGTTTTTGCAGGATTATTACTAAACTTTTATTATATTCGAATTTGATTTTTACTGAAATGTTAATAATACCAAACAAATTAATACCAAGAAGATTCTAACTTAATTGTTACTCAATTAAAGCATTATTCCAACAAGATTATAACTTGCTCCTAAATTCACTCTGACTTTACTATTTACTATAACTAAAATATTGCTGACATTTTTCTAAAATCTTGTTCAAACATCGCTATAATTTTACAAAAGTAAGAGGTGTAATTTTAGGACATACAAGAACTTGGTTGTGCTCTATGAAAAATATAATGACAAATAATATAAATGTGTTTGAAAAATATCAATTGAAAATTGCATTATTAGTTTTCAGAAAAAACTAGAACTGTGTTCTAAAAAAAAAACAGGTAAGCATTTTAATTTTATATTCAATTTTATAGCTAAATCTCAAGTTTGATTTTTTAAGACAATTAACACACATATCAGAAAGTTCTGTTTTTTATTTTACTTTTACATAGTTTTGATTTTATTCGTTTCAAAAAAAATTGTCAGTTATTATAGTAAAGTACCATCGATAGATTTTGAGAAAAGAATAAACTTGTTCTAAATCTACGTCCATAATTTAATATTTACATTGATTATGACTTCTACCATTTGTCAAAAAACTTATAGGCATCAGTAAAGTATAATCTTTAATTTATGCTTAGGGAGAATCGTCAATCCAATTGAATAGAATAGTATCATAATGGTAAAATTTTTTTTTCCTAAATCAATTACTTTGTTAAAACAAGCAGAAAGTTCTTTGAATCATTTAAATCGGACGCTTAGTTCCCTCAAAAACTGCCATTTTTTGCACAATAAGCTCTGTATCTTCGAAATGGCTGGGCCTGCCTTTATCAAAAACCAATAACCACTTCTCCCAATCATTACTAATTAAATGCTTTTTAGATCATTCAAATCGGATGCTCCGTTCTCTCAAAAACTGGATTTTTATTTTCTGCACTCTTTGCTCTTTATCTCCGTAACTGCTAGACCTGCCTTTGCCAAAAACTAATCAGCACATCTCCCTATCGATAGGAATCGAATCTTTTTTGAACCATTCAAATCGGTTGTTTCGTGCGCTCGAAAACGTGGACGAAAAATTGTATCTATGCATACATAAACACACACACCCATCCATTTTTCTGAAGTATGCCAAAATGTTCAGAAACTTTCAAAACGTCGAGAAATGCAAAAATTTTTGATTTCGATTTTTAGACAATTACAAGATAACTTACCCTGCGGGAAGTTAATAATGTAAACTTGTTAGAACCAACATACTTTATATTTGGGACAACAACTGTCACTACCCTACCCTGGCACAACCGTACCCAGTCTCCTAGAAAAATTATAGACAACTTGATCAAATCAACCTGTTTCAATTACCTAAATCGAATACCCATGAATCCATTTAGACAGAATTCGATTCAAACTCCAACTATCAATCAAGAATCAAAGAGCTACTAGTACCTACTATACTATACTTCTAAGATTCGCTGGTTACTCCGATTCTAGTGAACTATTTGCATATTTATCATCAATTAACCCCGGGGCAAGGGACTCGACTCGACTCAACTGTTGTGTTTTGTATCGCATTCGAGTATTCCCCGTATTGCGCCGACGCCGAAGATAATGCTAAAACTAAAGCTGAAGCTGAAGTTAAAGCTAGAACTAATTCTCTTTCGACATTTAAAGCGCCGCGGGACACGCATGTCTCGTGCCATTTTGATCATGAGACGATGGAAACTTTATATCAGGGGACAGGGGTGAGATAATTGTAAATGAAATTTATATTTAGGGTAAATTTGAGGTTTTTAAAAATCCAATTTATATTGCAGTTGATGTATAACTAATATCATCATATCTGGATTAGTCAATAGATTGGCATTTTGTTTAGACATTTTTCTAGTATGTTCAAATATTTGATGTTCAGTATGAAATAGGACAAATGACAAATGATTGTAAGTGTAAAACCAGTTAGTAAACTTAGTGTAATACACATCATAATAATATCGTTACAAAATATTTGTAATTTATGGTGCTTTTTAATTAAATAATGTTGTATTAAAAATGAAAAAAAAACCTTAAATTTTTTGAGAAATTTAAATTTAAAAAAAAAAATTACTTTTGAAAAAAAAATTTTTTTTCGCCTGATTGTGCTGATATTTACATAGTTTACTTTTATTGATATGAGAAAGTATAGTTTAACTTATGAGCAGACTACATAATGTTAGTTAACTAGCTAATTATGACGCAATATGTTTGGTTTTATGAATTTTTACAGCGTATTTAATTGTCAAAATCTATTACCCACATCTGAAATAGCTTCACTTTGGATAACCTAATATTAAGCAGTAGTGTTTTTACTTAAAAATACAGAAAGCAACATTTTTAAAAACATCATTATTAGAAAATTTTAATAATAAAATTTATCAAATATTTATGGGTAAACCTTTGGGTTACTTTGTGAAAAAGCATGTCTTTGAGGTTTGAACTCATCTCCATAGCTTCTAAAACACGTAAGAAAAAAAAACAGCTTCTAAAACAAAAATATAAAAATTGAGATAGCAACAATTCGAAAGTAAATGCATCAGATGTCCGAAGTATGTTGAAGAATTACAATAAAATTTTATTCATTCTACTATTTAGTATAG